CCCCTGCCTGGTGGCTCTTCAAAAGCCCTCCCCTGCGCTTGGCACCGGTTGGCAGAGCCCTCCTCCCCAGCAGGGACCAAGCTAATGAGCCTCTAAGTGATTTTGGGGGGGGAGGGGGTGCTGCTTCAGCCTGTACTTCCTCCCTCTCGTCCCCCCCCCTACAGACACACACACACAGACACACACCAAGGTCCCTCCTGGAGGTTTGTTTGCAGGCCAGGTCTGCCCATGGGGGGGGGCCGAGGGAGGGAGGGGGTCACCGACCTGGAGCTCTGGGGACTTCTGGCTGAGGTCGGAGAAAGCGTCGGCCAGGGCGTGCTGCGTCTGGACCAGGCTGTAGAAGTGGTTAGTGAGGGCCCGCGCCAGGCTCAGGACGCTCTCGTACTTCCGCTTCGTCTCCCGCAGGAGCTCGATCTGCGTCTCCAACTCCAGGTCGACCGTCCGTGAGCCCCGACCGAAGCGCTCCGAGAGCAGCTGCTTTGTGCACTGTGAAGCAGGGCGGGGGGAGCGATACCGAAAACAGAGAGAGAGAGAGAGAGAGAGAGAGGCTTATCTTGCATCTTCAGGGAACAGGACAGGGCGATTCGTCTGAACAGGCAGGAAAACAGGCTAGCCAGGAAAGCTGCTAGCCGTTGCCAGAGCAGAGCAGCACGAGAGTCCCTGGGAGCCTGTGGAAAGGGTGTGTGCGCAATGCAGGTGGAAGAGACTCAGAGGTGGCCAGAGCTAGCAAGATCCTCGAGGGTCACGCATCTGGCCCCTGGCCACCCAAGCCCAAAATCCCTACCTAGAACGTTGACTTGACTTTGGAGGAATCCACCAACCTATGAGGGACGCCACCCCCACCACTGTCAAAACGGCTCCCCCGGTCAGAAAGCGTTCCTAATGTGGAGTCAAAATCGGCTTCCCTGTAACTTAACTCCATTCATTGGGGCCCTATCCTCTGGAGCTCCAGAAAACAGGCTCGTCCCATCTTCCACGTGACAGTCCTCCAAATATTTGCAGATGCAAAGACGGCTATCCTATCGCCTCTCCTTCATAAAGGCCTATGAAGAGAAGATGAAGACTGAACACGCCCAACTCCCTCGAGCTCTTCTCCTGAAGGCCAGGCTTTTCAACCCTCCCGGCTACCCTCTGCTGGCAGCTGTGCCAGCTTCTCAATGTCCTTCTCAAAACTGTAGGAGACAAGAACGTAGAAGAACAAGAAGACACAGAGAGAGGCACAATGAGCAAAAAAGCTGGCCGTGTCTCTGATGCAACAGAATTCCATCCTGATTGGTCCCCTGCGCGCAAGGATCCTCTGCCAGTGGAAGGAGGACAGGAGCCCCGGTCCCTCCCCACCAACAGGGGCACCAAGCTGCTGAACAGGAGAGACAACACTGGGGGCAGAGTGGAAAGGATGCATCAGACATTTGGGGGTGCGGGGGGCGGTACAGGGACCTACCCACACAGGGGAATGGACAAGTGAAGGGTCCCCCCACACCACTCTACAGAGTATAGGAAACAAAGATGAACTTAAGCTCTTATCACGAGGAGGGGGTGAGGACCACAAAACAGAAATTACAGCATGATCACCTTATCACTGGGATCAGTGGTCAAAATGACCAGATAGGCAGAGTATAAATAAAATAAATAAAAATAAATAAATAATAAAAGTATCCGTGGTTTGAAAATGTTAAAAATATTGAACAAAAAAATCCAGGAAAAAAAACTATATTCACATATATTCTCAAAGGCTTTCACAGCCAGGATCCAAGGGTTGTTGTAGGTTTTCCGGGCTGTTTGGCCATGTTCTGGAGGTTTTTCTTTCAAATGTTTCACCAGTCTTTGTGATCGGCATCTTCAGAGAACAGGAGTTAGAACTGTGTCTGAGTTCTGGTGCAGCTATTTGTAGCTGTGGGATCAGCTTTTTGTCCTTTTCAGGAGATTGGGTGATCAGGTGTTTTTTGTTATGGGTGCATTGTTGTGATAAGAGGGTGATGATCTGTCACTGTAATTGATGGGTGCCATTAGCTAGTCTTTTGTGTGCAGTGATCACCAGTCCTTGTGGCTGAGCAGAGTTCGCTGATCTCGACAAAAACTCAACTATCCCACACACTACACCAGAACACAGAGTTCTAACTCCTGTCCTCTGGCAATGCCGGCCACAGAGACTGGCGAAATGTTAGGTAGAAAAACCTGAAATCTGAAATAACTGGATTGAATATTCAAATGTCTCCGTTAGCTGCTTTATTGAACGTGATTAAGAAGGATCAATTGTTGAAAGAAAATAAGGATTTAATAGTAATAATGTTTACGGCTGCATGATTAATTTTCGCAAGAAACTGGAGAAACGATAATCAATTTAGTTTAGAGGAATGGTATAGAGAATTATGGGAAATGGCAATTAATGATAAACTGACATGTGAGATGAAAATCAGAAGAGGCCAATTGAAAAATAATGATTTTAAGAAAACATGGAATGTATTTTTGGAATATGTATTTCGGAGAGGGAAGGGGTATACACTGAGGGAAGAAACAACGAAATTTTGGAGAGAAAATGGATTGAATGAAGGTTAATGCTAGTCCTGAAGGTGATGGGGGCACTTATGAAACTGTATCTTATTGTTTTGTATTTTTAATTGTTTTTTTATAGTACTTTGTGTGGTAGTAGGTTTAAGTTGTATTAATAATAATTAAAAAAGAAAAAAGAAAAACCTCCAGAACATGGCCAAACAGCCCGAAAAACCTACAACCACCATATATTCACATGTATTACCAAAACTAGCCACTAGAGAGAACCAGAGACCATGCTATAAATATTTGTTAGTGAAGAATGCCTAGCACCACGATGCCGAACCTATGGCACGCATGCCACAGCTGGCACGCAGAGCTCTTTCTGCGGGCACATGAGCCATAAGCCGGCAGATCGCTACCCCCCCCCCCCAGCCAAACCTGCAGAGGCAGCTGCAGCCACAGTGCTAGAGCTTCAACAGGCAGTGGGCCAGGATCCAGAGCAGCTGGCACTGGCAGCGGATCCAGAGTGGGGTCTTGTGGCACCTCCGTGCCTGGTGGGCACTCAGGCCCAAAAAGGCTCTGCTGTCCCTGGCCTAGTATGATCTCTGTCCCTTCCAGTGGCCAGTTCTGGTACTGCATGTGAAAAATAATGTTTCCCTGTTTTTCCCCCCCTTTTACCATGCTACACAGAGAGAGAGAGAGAAAGAGAGAGATTATTATCCATAGTTTTCAGTATCCACAGGGAAGGTTGGAATCAATTCCCAGCAGATATGGAGGCCCTACAGTACTGAAGCCAGGTGGGATATACGCATGACCAGAGTATCGAGAATAAGAACCATAACTTTTTCAAAAGAAGAGGCTAAAAAGGAAAGGAAGTATTGTATTATATAGAAAGGATGGGTACAACTGTCAGCCACCTCTGGGACGCACACTCAACATGTGGTGAGATAATCTCATCATGTGTGGCAGAGAGGCTAATGCCAACTTTATCAGGAGGCCAGGCTCTGGTTAGGAGGCTGGTTTTTCCCGGCAGGGTCCCTCAAGGTCACAAGTGAAGCCCCTGAGGCATCCGCCCTCCTCAGGAATAATGGACACCTCTGCAGAAGAAAACAGATAGTCCCAATAGTGACGAGGGGCAGAGAAACTTCCGGAGGGAATCTGTTGGGCCGCAGCGGTAGCAGAATATGGCCCTCCTGGAGGATCTTTCACAGACAACGACACTCACAGCCCCATCAACCTTAAATCCCCAAATTTCAAAAAGGGGAAGGAACAGGATTCTGGCAACTACCGACTGGCCAGCTGGACACTGACCGCAGGAAAGGTTCTAGAACTTATCAAACACTCCGTCTGGGAGGACTTGGAGGGAGGGAAGAATCTGGTTTCTGAGCCCCGGCATACAGTAGGTTTCTCAAAAACCAGTCATGCAGGCTAACCTTTTTCTTTTCTTTTCTTTTAAGAAGCAGTAGTCTGGTAGATGAATTGAATACTATGGGTAGAGTATAGCTTGATTTCATTGAGCTCTTAAGCAAAGTCTCTCACAATATTCTTGTGGCTGAGCTGGTGAAAGGATAGTGTGAGGCGGGCAGGCCGTACTGATCAAGACTCTTAGTCCACCAGCAGTTCCTCATCATCCTGGGAAGAAGGGACAAGCAGGGTTCCACGAGGTTCCGTCCTACCGTGTTTCCCCAAAAATAAGACAAGGTCTTACATTAATTTTTGCTTAGGGCTTATTTTCAGGGGATTTTTTTTTCCATGTACAACAATCGACATTTATTCAGATACAGTCCTGTCCTCTTCTTCTGGTTGCTGCAAAAAGGTGGAGGGCGCGGTTTCACTTAACTAGGGCTTATTTTCGGGCTTATATATTACGAGCATCCTGAAAATTCATACTACAGCTTATTTTCAGGGGAAACAGGGTATGCCCACTATCCTACGCCCACTGCCCAAAAAAGGGTGGTCGCCAAGGGCACCTCCTCACCCTCTGCTCCATTCACACCCAGGTTGTGTTCAGACCGAAAGAAGCAGCAGCCTCCCTTTGCTCTGCTTTGGTCAGACGTCACTTATAACGCTGGGCCCAGTTCTGGGCACCAGAGTGCAGGAAAGGTCCCAACGGACTGGAAGAAAAGTTCAAAGGAGAACGACCAGGGTTGTAGAAAATCCGGAAAACATGCGCACTCTGAGGAGCAACAGAGAGAGCTGGGTATCCTTCTCTCGGGAGAGGAAAAGACCAAGAGGCCAGCGCGATGGCCACCTTCACATAATTACAGGTCGCCATGCAGAAAAGGGGTGGGGAGGCTAGCTTGTTTTCTGCAGATCCTGAGGGCAGGACCGAAAGCCAGGGATTCAAACAAAGAAGAAAGGTTAGTTAGGCATCCTTCAGTCTCGAAAGACTATGGTAACGTGCTCTGTATGGAGGACGGAGAACAACGTCTAGTGTGGCTGAGGCGGCCAATTCGAGAGTGACAATCCCTTCCACACTGAAGACAAATCCAATCTGTCCCCTGTCCAGCTCCCTGGTTTTGCTGCTTTTGTGACTTCCTCTTTGCCTCAGCCTGCTGGGCAAGGGTCTCTTCAAATTGGGAGAGGCCGTGATGCAGTGCCTGCCTCCAGAAGAAAGGAGATGTTGCCTTAGTGGGAGGAAGAATTTTCTCTTTCAAAGGTGGACTTTCATTTATCAGACGTTTTCAAACACAGGTTAGAGGGATATTTGTCTGGGAATGTCTCACTCATAGATTTCCTGCTTCTGCAATAGCTTTCACTCAGTTCCCTTTGGGGAACTGATGTTACCTGTCTGTCATGGGTTGGAGGGAAAGTTCCATCCTATGGGGAGTGGAAGGCGGGACATCAGGAGGAGGGGCTGTACTGTATATATATGTGGAGTTTGTGTGGAGAAGTTAGGAGAGCTGAAGGAGAAGCTGAGAAGAGCTGAGAGAAGAAGCTTGAGTGGGAGTCTGTGTGTCAGACAGGGTACTACTGTGTGTCAGTCAGTACCAACCTGATAGGTTCAGGTGTCTGTATGGTTAGCCAGAACTGATAGGTTCAGGGTCTGTGCTTCAAGTTAAGTGTTCTGTGTGAACCTTTCTTAATATATTTACTTATGCCGTGCTCTATACCAGAGCGCATTCCAATACGATTCCATGAAAGGTAGGGAACAGAAGTGCCAACGAACCATTTTGAAACAATATCCCATCTGGAAGAAGGTCAAGGGTGTCTTTGGACACACAAAAAGGAGATGGCTGTCAGGCTGGCTCAGAAAGGCAAGTCTGTGGCTCATCATGGACCAAAAGAAGGCTAATTGCTTTAGAGAGGGAACAAAGGAGTCGACAGTGGATGTCCGAGCCAGCGGAGCCTACTGGCAACGCCCTGAGAGCTCTTTTAATGACTTAGCATGATTTACATAGTATATGGTGAGAGAGACAGATAGGATGCTAGTTGCCTAATTGTAACCAGAATTGGCTAAAATAACCCTTTGATCTTATGCTCTACCTCTAAGCGAAAGGACAGAAGGAGGGGTTGCCCAGCCTGGTGGCAGCTGCTGCTTCCTGCCATTAGTGAATGCAGCTACAACCTTGAAGTAGAAGTTTCCCACACAAGTCACCACCGCCTCCCCTTGAAAATGCTCTTTGTTGCATCCAGAGAGGCAGGAGCAGCCCTTCAGGAAGGCCAGGTGCCCTCCCTTGGGGCCAAGAAGACTTCCAAGGCAGCCCGGCACCTGCCAGGCAGGGTGCCCGCTGATTCTGCTGGAGGGGGAGCTGGGGCTGATGGGAGGGGAGGGAAAGGATGCCAAAGACATCGAGCTCTCTGGCAGCGGCAAAGACAGAGCCATTAACACCTCTGGAGAAACACACACATGCACACACACCCAAGTGAGAGGACCATTCACTCCCATCACCCGCCCCAAAGGCAGTCTCGCGCGTCCCCCTCCTGCTTTGGGAAGGAAGTCCCCACTCCTTCCATCCTTCCTGGCTCACCTTGTATGTGTTGATACCCCACTTCTTGACAATGTCCAACTTCTCCACCGCAACCCCCCGTGTGGCGGCTGCTGCCGCTGCCGCCTCCTCCCCCGTCATGGGGGGGTGGGGTTGGTGCAAATTGGAACCTGCAAGTAGCAAGACAAAGAGGGCCCCTCACCAAGGAGAATAACCACCACCACCACCCCACACACAAACGTGTCTTGTGTGGCGAGAAGTGCTGATGGAAGAGGAGGAGACAGGAAGATGGAACCAGAGAGGGATCCCTTGGTCATCCTCAACCCCCTCTCCTTCCCCCCCCCCGGGATCCCAGCGAACTCCTTTTCACCCCCTGGTCAGGACGGGTATCCGATGGCCATACCTGAGGCCGCATCCCCCTGGCTAGCTATCCTGCTGGCGGCTGATGGACTGGGGGAAATGAGCGGTCTTTGGGGCAGGTGAGATGGAGTGAGAGAGCCTGAAATGGAGGAGGCAGGACAGGACGGGATGGGATGGACCGGGGTGGGGGTAGGGGTGAGGGTGAGGGAGCACAGAGGGATGCAGAAGAACATGAGGGAGGAGTCAATGAGCCATGATGGGCACAGACAAGCAGACACAAAAGCAGCAAGTGGCCGAATGACCCAAAGTGGGAACCAGCAAGAGTGTGGCCCCACCAGGGGCCTGGAGACGGCCTCCCCTCCCTCTTCGGCGGTGGGGAGGGGGAGAATGCCGGGGCCAAGGCCGAGAGGCACTCCGACGCTGTGCTTTCCCCATCCTGCAGGGGAGAGGCAGGCAGAGAGTGGGCTTCCAAAGCACAAGGCCATGCTGAGGGCCACCTGGCACGGGGAAGGAGGGATCCGGGCCAGAACTGTGCCTAGGCAGTTGGGGGATCAATCCGGCAGCTGATCGAGACCAGGCTTTGCTCCACAGAAGCCGTTGGAAGCACTTAGGAAGCTGACCTTTGATGGCGCTGGTGGGTATGATGCCCTCGGCGGTGCCCCCGTAGCCTCCAGACACAATGCTGGTCTCATTCAGGTTGGGCCCCGACACCATCACTTGCTGCAGGTCCTGGAGAGGCAGAAGGGGGAGCAACGGCATTGGTGAACAGCCCCTGCCCTCTCAGAGCTTCTGAAGGGAACAAAGCCTCTTC